CTCGCTGTGTGCCCGCGCGCCCCGCCCGTGGGTGTCTCTCTGGAGGAGAGAGAGACACACACACACACACACACACACACACACACACACACAAACTAAAATAAAAGTCCTGTTCAGTTTCACCCTCACTCCCTGTTCCTGGAGGTTCTGTCTGGTCCAGGTGAGTCCGAGATCCGTTGTCTGTCTTCTCTGTTTTAGTTTTGTGATTCGGGTTTTTACCAAGTCGAAAACCAAACAAGATTTGTTTCTTTGATCAGTTTGTTAAAGCCTAGTAAGTGAAAAGACCCAAGTGAATTGTTCGGAAACATTTTGAAACAAGTTTAGATTTTAATAAGAACAGTTATTGCGGCTGTTATGACAATAATGTCTTCTCTTCTACTAAATACAAATCATGACGTTTTATTCCAGCTGTGAATGTTACTGCTGTTACTGTTGTAACATGTGTGTGTTTTTTTATTACAAACTTTCTACAGAACAATAACTTGTGTATAGTTTGTTGATGCAGATTGGATTTTGGAGTTTTATAACATTTGTGTTTGGTATTTGGTATCCTACTTGTACTTAGTTTGCGTTAGTAATTCAGCAGGTCAGGACTCTCTGTTTTATTAATTCTCCTTAATCTTCAACATTTTTCCTCCTCTTTTATTCTATCCTTTTTTTCTACTTCTGATTTAAAATGACCAAAAGCTTCTTTATTTATTTTCTTCTAAAATTTTCAATCTTTCAAAAAAATTCAATTTCGTTGTAACCCTGCTGTACAATGACAATAAACATTATTCTATTCTATTCTTTTCTATATTAATTCGATCTTAATTTTCCCTTTTTTCTTTCTCTTTACTGTCATTGTTCTGTTATCTTTTTTCAGTTCATTTTATTGTTGTCAAATTTTATTTCAGTGGCGCTTTGGCCCAGAGGCAATTTCCCTGTCACTGGTGTGGAACCCCAGGGTTCACATCCTGGGCAAGATCAAATCCCGGTTAGGGCGGTTGGTACCTTCCAGTGGACTCACCACCCGCAGGAAGGTTTGAGGTGTTGGTACGGTGCAGCGTGATTCGGGTGCCGGTCATAGAGACTGCCGCCCCCACGACCCGGTAACGGATAAGCGGATGAAAATGGATGGATGGAAATTTTATTTCAGTTTTCAGTCAATGTTATTGTATTTTTTTTATGTCTTATTATGTTGGATGTTTTTTTAAACGCAAGTATGCGTGTGTGTGTGTGTGTGTGTGTATATGTGTCTGTGTCATTCAGCTGTCTTTGACTTAATTGTTTATAGTTTGTTGATGCAGGATTGGATTTCCTCCACGAGTTTTATAACATTTGTGTTTGGTATTTGGTATTCTACTTGTATTTAGTTTGCGTTAATTTGCTGTTTTACTCATTCTCCTTAATCTTCTGCTGCTACATTTTTCCTCCTCTTTTATTCTATCCTATTTTTCTTCTTCTGGTTAAAAATTGACCAGAAGCTTCTTTATTTATTTTCTTCTAAAATTTTCAATTTTCAAAAAATTCTATTTTGTTGTAACCCTGCTCTACAATGACAATAAACACTGTTTTACTCTATTCTTTATTATTTTGATCTCAATTTTCCGTTTTTTTTCCCTCTTTACTGTCATTGTTCTCTTATCTTTTTTCGATTCATTTTATTGTTGTCAAATTTTATTTCCGTTTTCAGTCAATGTTATAGTATTCTTTACGTCTTATTGTGTTCGATGTGTGTGTGTGTGTGTATATGTGTCTGTGTGTGTTTCATTCAGCTGTCTTTGACTTAATTGTTTGAAACAATTAAACGTTTATTGAAATTTTATTAAATTATACTCGTATATACTCTTTCAAATTGTTGCATGATGAACATGCGTATATGTTTCAACGATTCCTGTACGACATTCGTTATTATTTTAATCCTATTCGTTTTTCCTAAAGTCAAACCAAAAAAAATATTCCAGTAAATGAACCACAGGTTTGAGTTTTCACAATCAAAGTCTGTAAAGAAATGATGGAATTTGTTGTCTGTAAAAAGTTCACAGAAGTGAAGGGGTTTGAAGAAGTGACGAAGAAGAAGAAAAAGAAGAAGAGACTGATGAACTCCTCAAACATCACTCTGACATCCGTTGTCAGAGAAGGCATCCAGAAAGCCATCATCAAAAATGTCGTCACTGTGGTTTTCTGTATCTGCATCAACTACGTCAACGGTACTCTGGTCTACACCTTCACCAAACACCAGGTGACCTACACCTACAGTCATACTGACCTACACTTACAGTTATACTACTATTGGTCAAACCTTAAATTCTGCTGCTTTAATCAAAGGTTGCCCATCAAAATGATAAGAAAAAATATTTTAGGCCAAAAATGATCACGATGATGAATTTCTTCTACTTACTCCCACCTTTTTTTTTTTCTTTTTTTAAAAAAACAAAAACTTTTTAGCCTTACCTTTACTTATAGGTGAAGTCCATGGTTGTGTCTCTCGGTTTTCCCTCACCTTAGCGTTGTGGAGGTGAAGTCCATGGTTGTGTCTCTCGGTTGTGTTTCTGCTCATCTAATGCCAAATTGATCCTTGAATTTCCAAAAGTTTTTAAAGAAATCTGGCTTTGAGTGTGCGTGGCTTATCTTTCATGTCATTAGCTTCTTTGCTAATGTTTCAGGTCACAGTATCTTGAGTTAGTCCATACGTTATCACACGATTAGAATAAATGGCAAGGAAAGCAGTAAGGGTGGTTTCTTGCAGGACAGCCACACAGTCAGTCTTTTTCATTTGTACCACTCCATTTGAAAAGAACCACTCTTCTGCTCCGTAGTTTGAAGCTAACCTTTTAGCTCTGCCGTTGGTCTTCCATCATTAATCAGCTTCTGTTTGGACCGGAAGTCCCGTTTTAAGAAATGTTTGAGTCTTGAAATACAATCCAGAGTCAGTCGTATCAGACAGAGCAGAAAACGCTGTTCTTGACCTACTGGTAGGGATGTGTCGTTCGCGAGTGATTCGTTCAAAACGAACGAACCTTTCATATGAGTCGTGCCTTCACTCATATGAAATATTCGTGACTCGTGACTACCGAGTCATATTAAATATGTATTAATATTGAACTCACGAATCACTCACAAATCACTCACTGCGAACTAATCACTTACTGCGAACAAATCACTCTCTGTAAACTAATCTTTCATTGCAAACGAATCACTGTGAACTAATCTTTTGCTGTGACCTAATCGTTCGCCGTGAACTAATCTTTTGCCGTGAACGAATCTTTCGCCGTGACCTAATCTTTTGCTGTGAACGAATCATTTTCTGTGAACTAATCTTTTGCCGTGAACGAATCTTTCGCCGTGAACTAATCTTTCGCTGTGCACGCATCACTCCCTGTGAACTAATCTTTTGCTGTGAACTAATCACTCTGAACGGATCATTCTCTGTGAACTAATCCTTCGCCTCGTTCTCGCAGATTCGTTTCATTTGTCACGTGAAAGAGCTCGGGTCTTTTTTGCTCTCATTCATCCTCACATTGTGGTGTGTTTTTATTTCTTAGCTTTTCACATGGTTTTAATTACTTATGGCATTTTCTGTACTTTGTAGACTTTGTCAGCGGAAGCAAACCATGTTGCCTTATTTAGTGTCGGAGAACCGCAGCCTGCTTTACAACAGCTGTAGTAATACTGACCTAGAACTACAGTTATACTGACCTACAGCTACAGTTCTACTGACCTACACCTACAATGACCTACATGTACTGTTCTACTGACCTACAACTGTAGTAATACTGACCTAGAACGACAGTTCTACTGACCTACACCTACAATGACCTACACCTAAAGTTATACTGACAGCTGTATAAATGTGTGTACGCCAGCTCTGGCGCTGTCGCACATTTTTCTACGATCAAATGTTTCAAAGAATTGTACACCACCCTTTTCTACGCTCATTTCAGTTTGGACTCTCTACTTGACTCTTTCTGGTCATGGAGACTGGAGATGTGAGTAACAGTTAACTTGTTTGTTTTCGCAGGTTTTGAGAATGAACCCTCGTTACATCCTCTACATCCACCTGGTCATCAACGACATCATCCTCCTGACCATTTTCACCCTCATCCAGGTCCTGAGTTACGCCGTCTTCACCCTCAACGTCTCCCTCTGCATCGTTCTTGTCATTTTCGCCGTGACGGCAAGTGTAAACAATCCATTAACGCTCGCCATCATGGCAGTCGAGTGTTACATCGCTGTATGCTTCCCCCTCAGACATGTGCAGATTTGCACGGTCAAGAAACCCTACGCTGCCATTGGTGCCATTTGGATGTTGAGTTCCTTCTACATCCTATCAGATTTGTTCGTGACCTTGGCTATAGAACCTATGGCGTTTTTTCACTCCAAAGTTTTCTGCATCACACCAATGGTTTTCAGACATCCTTCTCGGGAGGAAAAGAGATATATATTTAACATTGTGTTAATGGTCCTGGTCTGGTTCATTCTGTTATACACCTACTTCATGATCATCAGCGCCGCCAAGGCGGCCTCCGCCGATGCTAAAAAGGCCAGGAACACCGTTCTCCTGCACGGCTTCCAGCTGCTGCTATGTTTGCTCACCTACGCATATAACCCGATCATGCAAAGTTTGTTGCTGCTGTTTCCTAATGCACTCCGAGACATTCGATTCAGTGTCTCCATATTGGTTCACGTTCTTCCTCGACTCATCAGTCCAGTCGTCTACGGGCTGCGAGACAAGACTTTCAGGAAGTACCTGAAAACTCTGTTCTGTGCAAACAGGGCTGAAACGCACCCACAGAAGACGACCTGAGTAGATCACGATGACACCTAGTTTGAATACTTCCTGACAGTAAAACTGTCAGGAAGTATGTGTGGGTCAGTGAATAATGGGTCTAAGATAATATATGATCTCCTTTCTCTAGTCCTAGGTAAGGCTACACAGAGGTCACTGTCGTCCCTGACCCAGTGACTTGTTCACTTGATTCAAAGACTTACTACCAAAATCCAATGATTTGTCCTCTTAAACCATATTAAATGTGATAGGAAATGTGTAAAGTTTTTTTTTTTTTTTTTTGAGTCTCAATAAACAAGTTGCAAACTTCAGCCCAACCACTAGATGCTCCCAAAAGCGTCTCAGTGGACATTTAAGGTAAGAAAAACGAGAAAGGTCTGGATGAGATCATTAAATCCTCACATCCCAACAGTAAAGATAAAATCTCTAAAGAGTAAAACAAACAAACAAACTAATTAAACATTGAATTGACGTCAGAGCTGATTTATAAAAACCTGGGTCTGGCCCAAGCACCATCATCAGAGTGAAGGTACAGGTCCAGCTCCAGGTCCAGGAACTGTATTCTGTAAAAATACAGGTGAGATTTGTATTTATTCATTTATATTCAGATGAAAAAAAAAAGATTTATTAATGTTTTACTTTCTGTTCCTGATGATTTTACTATTACAACAACTTTATTTTTATTCTGAGGTTATATGTTTAAAATATATTTTAATTGATGATTTATTGTATTGCAGTCCTATACAGATATATACATTACATTCTATATATATACTATACATTGTATAAAGAATGTATTCATGTGTACATATATATATGTGCATACATATATACAGAGAAGATTATACTGATGTAATATATAATAATAATACATATTATATATAAATATTTTTGCATACATATATTACAAGCCAGTATAAATTCTATTGTAATTATGAATAAAATAGTATACGTGATTTATTTCTGTTTTATATGTCTTATATTTGATGACTATTTTTTTAGCAATGAAATATATTTTTTCATATTTTTACGCTCTGGTTTTAATTTTTTCCAATTTCAATTTCTTTTACATATAACTATGTAATTTATATATTTTATTATATTTAATATTTGTATTTGTAGTAAATGTGTTTGAAAGATTGAATAATTTGGATATATTTTTTATATTTGGATTTCATCTTAATTTGTATGTGACCCTTTAGAATTTTGTTTTTTTTTTTACATTTCATTATTTTTTTAAAAATCTGATTATTCAGCTCATTCATCTTGTTAAAATGACAATGTGTTAATTATCAAATCATAAAAATTACAATTTCCCACATATAATTATATTGTGACGCCTCCATGATGTTTATGTTTGAGATACGGTGTTCCCTCTCTGCATCGCGATTCTCCTTTCGATCCCTCAGTACATCACAAATGGTTTTAATTCCAATGTCTCTATAAAATATTTTTTGAATGTCCAATATTTTCATAATCTCACAATAAAAACATTTTCTAACCTAAAAAAATCATCGCTGGTAGCTTTGTTTACCTAGAGGACATCGAACACAGCATTGTGTTCCTCATGCTGATTGGCTCATGCATCGTAGCATCTCTCAGCATCTCCCCTTGTCTGTACGGTTTGTCCTCTTGTGTTTGGTGAAAGTTGACCCTACGATGCCTCCTGAACGCTCTGATCATCTTCTCAGGCTTCTGTTACGAAGCCCGAATGAAGACGCTGACACAGATGACAGTTAACAAGCCTTTATTTTTCTTTACAATAACGTGTGCTCCTTAGCTTTGCCCGGTCCGTCCGCCTTGGCCAGTACGCACTCCTCTGTTCCCTCTCCTCTCTCCTTGGTCCCAGCTGCTACTAATCTGATTACTGATTACTCCAATTCCGCTCACCTCCATAAGGGGCCGCACCTACGTCGCCACTCCTGAACACTTCTCTTTTCGTGGTGGGTCTTGGAACGCAACTACCGCGATAGGAGAGGGGACCACTGTACTTATATTTCATATTTGTTCTGCATCTCACCAGAGGCTACAAGAACTGGTTCTCTCACACCAAACCTCAGTGATTTAGCTGTGTGTGCTTGACTTGAAACTGTACTCATTTTCTAGATCCATCTATGTTCCGTAGGATGAATTGGTCATCAGCGATCAACAGCTCCCTGACTGTGGTCGCGCTGAATCCCAGAGATTCCTTCACGGCTGCTCTGACCAAGAACATGATCGTCGTCTCCCTCTGCATCTCCATCAACTACATCAACGGTGTCATGGTCCACACCTTCCGGAAGCATGAGGTCTTACCCACAAAACTGGGTCTGGGCTTATATACTAGTTTGAAGTGTACAGTTGAACCTCAAGATACGAGCATAATCCGTTCCATTCATAGCATAATCCGTTCCAGGACTGAGCTCGAATCTCAATTCATTTTTTCCCCATAAGAAAAAAACAGAAAAAAAATGAATCCGTTCCGGCCTTCTAAAAACTCCCTTATTAGTGCTAATAACAATGGAAAAATGAGGAGGAGGAGCAGGGAGGAAGAAGGGAAGGGAGGGAAGAGAGTTGGCCCGTACGTAGAGACTTGATTCCGTACCGTACCTTAAACGTACACTACGTAACTTACATAAACTTAGAATTAACTTAACTTACTTTTTTTTTTTTTTAACTTTTCTACTTTTTTTTTCTTTCTCCGATTTGTATTCTTTCTTTAGCAACCACCGCGCTCAAATGTATCGACAATTTCATGCTTTATTTCCTCATGGTCATCCTGCGTTTCTTCTTCTCACCACCATCCTTACCACTCACTTTCTTAGGACTCGTCGCTATTTTGAAGAAAAATGCACAAAAATAGAACGAAAAATCCAGAGATAGCGCAAACGCAATCTGGAAGACTCGCAGGAGATTCTTACGGAAGTCGATGTACACGTGAAGTGAGTGTCGGTGTCGTGTAAGCACGTTCGTATCTCCAATCTTTACTCTTATCTCGAAGCAAAAAAATGTGCTCGAAGGCTTGCTAGTATCTCGAAATGCTCGTATGTCAAGACGCTCATATCTGCCACTGTACTTGTTTTACCTAAAACTAGGGCAGGAGAACAGTGAAGCCAAAGAAAGAAGAAGGAAATAAGGTCTAGAGAGGAAGCAGGCAGAAGGGATGTAGCTAATATGTAGCATTTAGCTGACAACGTAGGCTTAACTACCGCAAGTAACAAAAGTCGAAGCAGACTCTGGGAACTAGGAAGGAACCAAAAGGTCAAGATGTGGGATTGGAACTTGTAACCAGGAAGCAAAAGTAGTCGAGGTAGCATCTGAGGACACGAAAACAGGATGTAGCAAGTAAAACACACTGTAGCTTCCTGATCACTTCTCCTGGTTTATCTTTTCCGTTTTTTTGTTGTTTTTTTTTTCTTCTCTCCCTCAGGTCTTCATTTCGAGCCCACGTTACACCCTCTTCATCCACCTGGTCATCAATGACATGATCCAGCTGCTGCTGTCCACGCTGCTCCATGTCGTCAGTTATGCCTTTTACACCATCAACGTCTCCCTGTGCATTGTCCTGCTTCTCATTTCTATAACCACCACCCTCAACACTCCTCTGAACCTGGCCGGCATGGCCGTGGAGTGCTACGTTGCCATAGGGCTACCACTGCGCCACAGCCAAATCTGCACCATCAGGAACACCTACATCTTCATCGGCCTGGTGTGGACCGCGGGAACGGTCTCCATCCTGCCTGACGCCCTCATCCTGGTGGCCACGGAACCCGTCCCTTTCTTCTACTCTCGTGTTCTGTGCATCAGAGACCAAGTGTTCCGCAGCAGCTACAGCTTGAAAAAAAGGAACGCATCCCACATACTGTGTCTAATCCTGGTCTGGCTGGTGCTCTTCTTCACCTACTTCAGGATCTTGTTCGCCGCCAAGGGAGCCAATAAGGACTTCAGGAAGGCCCGGAACACCATCCTCCTGCACGGGTTCCAGATGCTGCTCTGCATGTTGTCCTACATCCGACCCATGTTTGAAAATGCCATGCAAGTTTTGGTCTCCAGCAAATACCTTTCGGCCATCGGCTTCTGCAGCTACATCATCTCCCTGATCCTGCCACGGTTTATTAGTCCCATCGTCTACGGTCTGAGGGACCAAACCTTCAGGAAGTTCACGAGTAGATACCTGCTCTGTAAAACCAGATGAAATGTCCAGCAGGAACAGAACGATGTGTTACCTACGATAAGAGAGGGGTGACATTAAATCCCTATTTAATGTCAGCCACTAAACCCCATAGAGAAAACCAGTGATTTTAGCAAATATGGACACAATGCGCTGCAGGTGCACTGTTGCCTCCTCTGGTCACTTTGTGTCATTAAAGTAACTACATTTAGTCCAGTGGTTCTCAATTATTTTCTGTCATCCACCCCTTAAGGAACAGAAATGTTTTCACACTCCGACCCCCATGTTACCCCCCCCACCCCACCCCTGCAAAATGAAATACTATTGAGAACCTGATAACATGTATATTTCTTATCTGTACAAACCACTGTATGAGCTGCTGCCCCCTAGTGACTGGAGGCTTGTTATCATTACAGCATTACAGCAGTGGTACATTTATGTCCAGTGTGGCCAAATTCCATTGGAAGCCCCTCACGCCCACCCCCCACCCCGGCACCTCACCGTGCCCCTCCATGGGGTCCCGCCCCACTATTTGAGAAGCACTGATTTAGTCAAATCCATTGAAATAATGTCACTATTTTTAACTGGAAACTGAAGTTTATTTATTAAACGTTATATCATCTAAAAAACAAATGGTGTCAGGTCTCTCTGTGTGTGTGATAGTTGTGGTAAATTGGAGGAGGTGATTGGAGGAGAGTCAGTAATTCCAAGCCACGGATGTTATATAAAAAAGGAGTCATCAGTGAGGTGTTCAGGAGGAGGAGGTAAGGGAAGAGAAGGAGGCGAGGAGGCACCTGTTTATCCATCTGGTTTTTTAAAAAATCAAGAGGTTAGTTTTTGCTGTATAAGTCCTCCGATCAATAAACTATAAAATAAATCTAAAAATCTAAAAATGAAATGAACAACTTTTATATACGGCAATGAACACAGTTGAATGTTTTCATTAAACGTCCAACAGTTTGAATGAAAACATCTTTTGATGTCTTTGGAACAAGTGTTAAATATATATTTTTGTTTATTTAAATGTCTGTGGTTTTGATTAGGCAAAAACACAAAAAAGCAAATGTAAGAAAAAAAATTCTTCTTATAACAGTTCAAATATTTCTCAATCATACATTTTTTTATTTCAATTATTATATTTAAATTCTAACTTAAATATCTTAAATGATGTTAATATTTCACATGTATGTTTATGTATGTTACTGTTGTTAATTCGTATTAATTTGAATTAGTTTCTGTTTTTTTTTTTCTCCTCACATATTTATGACGTCAATTAAGTAGACACACACAAAAAAAAAGGAGCTGACACACACATTAACACATTTAAATAGATCCTGAATGTGTTTGTACTTGGATTCTTCCTAATGGTTATGGAGATGATTTTATTTGGATTATTGTTTTTCTCTTTTCTTCTCAGTTCTGAAGTGACCATGGCCTCAGCAGCAGAAAATCTTACCTTTACTTATCAGGTTTGTTTAAGTTCATCATAAAGGGAAAAAAAAAATTGAAAATAAAAAATATCAAAGATCAAAGTGAAATTTTTAAAAGGTAAACAAAGAAAAATAGTTTTCATTTGTAGCTCATTTTTAAAACCTGGGAAACAGTTATAAAATCACCTAAATAATGTTTTTGATGTTGTGAAATTTGAAAAGTAAATAAATTCGAAAAATGACATGAAATCAAAATAAACAAACTGAAGAGTAAATGTAAACTTTAAGGAGTTACTATATCACAAATCATTTAAACTTAATATACAAATACGTATTTTATGTTGAAAAATACATTCGTAAATCTGTTTTTAATCCAGAAAAATTATTATTATTATTATTACTGTTGTTATTATTATTAATAATATTGTTATTGCTCTTATTACTTTATATTTATTACGTAATTGAATTATGTATATTTCGGATTTTTTTTAATTTTTTTTTATGTATTTTTCTTTGGCTGACACTGTGCTGGTAAAGCCGAATGAAGCTTTGAGTCTTCGATTCGCAGAAGCCAATAGTGCCATCTAGTGGTATTAAGGCACCCTTTCAAGACCGAACAAACCTGATAAAAACATCAGTTTGAAGAGTTGTTCTGACTCGGTTCAGAGTGTGAGAGAGAACGATGATTCTGGGTCAGTCTTTGGCCTTTGGTTCGGTTCGTTTCAGTTAACGCGCCCGTCGTTCGGATCCGGTTTTATAACAGAACTTTTCTGTTTCCCAGCAAATTATGTAAATCAAAGTCTACATTTCTGCATCTTAATTTCAAAATGGGAGGGGGTCATGTTTAAGAATCGAGCCCCCAGGAAGAGGTGATTTGCATGGAGCGTCCTGCAGGTAGTAGACTAGAGTTGGTGGAAGATACGTGACGGCATCTGTCGTTTATAGCTGCAAGTCACGAAGGGTTAACCCTCCTTACCAGATATATATGGTGTATATATACACAATATATATATATATACATATATATGGTGTGTGTGTAAATATATATATATACATATATATGGTGTGTGTAAATATATATACATATATATGGTGTGTGTATAAATATATATATACATATATGTGGTGTGTGTATATATATATATATATATACATATATATGGCATTTCTGGACAGCCTGTGGTTTTCTAGAGAAAATAGTTAAAAATAAAAAATTAAATTTTTATTATTTTTTTTTTTAATCTATCAGCAAAACCATTGACACCCACATACTTCCATACATACGGAACATGTTATCTCGTTGATTTCTAATTAAACTTTGTTTTCTGACTCTGACTTTCTTTCTCTGTCTGCGTGGCTCTCTCTGCTGGTGGAACAGCTCACCTTCACCAGAGACACCTTCACCACAGCATTCGTGAAGAACCTGATCGTGATTCTGGTCTGGCTCGTCCTCAGCTACATCAACGGAACTCTGGTCTCGACGTTCTTCAGACACCAGGTTCGAAAGATGGAAGGAAGAAAACGTTAGAAAAAGTTAACGGCTAACCCGCAGTTTCATCTTCTACAACAGTCTGTGTCTAATCATCCCGTTGTGGCGGAAAACTGAACCTGAGTCTAAGACCTGGTCTAAAAGATACAGCTACGTTTTAGTAGTTTGAAGACGGCATGACTCGAATATTTAATTAGGGATGTCCGATATTAGCATAATTATGTGATATCTGTAAGAACCTTTATCGGTTTTTCCTTCGATAATGAAAACCCGATTACACTACGCCTGAGTTTCGCCACCCTAAAAATAGTTTGGGGGGAAAAACGGCTGTAAATGAAAGTGAAAGTCACTAGATGGCAGCATTGCAGCTCATTTATTTAATCCATTTTATTGTTGCGGTGATTGTATGCAGGCTAGATGTGCCAGCAACTCATACAGTGGTTTGTACAGATAAATAAATAAATAAATATGACCAGGTCTATATCGGTATTGGGTGATATCGGAATCAGAAATTAAGTGTTTGATTGGCATACCGAATATTTGCAAAACGTTAATATTAGACATACAATATTACATCTACCGAATATTTGCAAAACGTTAATATTAAACATCGCGACAAATATTACATCCAAAGTTTCCAAATGTAGAAACTGTTCATATGGAACCAGAAAATAACATCTCCTAACCAAAGGTAACTTTTCCACTTCCTCCTCCTCCTCCTCCGACTCCAGATCTTTTACGAGGACCCTCGCTACATCCTCTTCATCCACATGGTGATCAACGACGCCTTGCAGCTGACTGTCACCGTCACACTCTTTGTCCTCAGCTACATCTTCTACAAAATCAACGTGTCCTTCTGCTGCTTCTTCATTCTGGTGGCTGTCTTCACCACCAGGAACACGCCGGTCAATCTGGCGGGAATGGCCATCGAGCGTTACATTGCCGTGTGCGTGCCGCTGCGCCACGCTCAGATCTGCACCGTCCGGAGGACGTACCTTCTAATTGGAATCATCTGGTTCTTCTGCGTGGCTCCAGACATCACCGACTTGTTTGTGACTCTGGCCACCGAGTCCCTCGGCTTCTTCCACGAGTCGGTCTTCTGTCTGAGGCAGAACATCTTCAGAGACCCCGTGCTGGCCCAAAAGAGACAGGCCTTTGACATCATCTACTTCTCCTGCGTCTGTCTCACCCTCATCTTCACCTACTTCCGAATTCTGTTTGTTGCCCGGGCCATCTCCAGTGAGGGGACATCCGCTCAGACCGCCAGGAACACCATCCTTCTGCACGGCCTCCAGCTGGCCATGTGCCTGCTCTCCTACGTCTCGCCCAGCGTGGAGCTGATTCTTCACCTCATCTTCCCAGGATACATCCTCGAGATTCGCTTTGCCAACTACCTGATCGTCTACATCCTCCCACGCTTTCTCAGCCCCATTATCTACGGCGTCCGAGACAGAAAGTTTAGGAGGTACTTCAAAATGTACCTATTGAGCCGAGGCTGCGCAGAGAAGTTCCAGAGGGTGGCGCCGCAGCGCAAAGACCTAATGAGACATCAGGTTCCACGGAAGACCTGATGATGGAGATCAAAGAAGATATCCAGGGAAATCCAGGGGAGAAGAAGTTGAGTGAAACAGTGGCCCCCTACTGGATTATAATGAAACTGTTTCCACTTCTTTTTTGTAGACTTCAAACTTTTTGACTCGCGGGCCGAAAATTGAACTTTGGGGCCGGGTCGGGAGCAGATAGATGGAGAGTTTGTGTGAACGAAAGATAAATGACTAAATACTTTTATCATTTTCTACGCCATCTATTGGGGAAATGTGGGTGTTGCAGGGGAAAGGCAGAAATATAATAATAATGGTAATATAAATAAATGATAGAATTTGGAAAAAAGTTTGGAGGGCCACATCTGGTGGTGTAGCAATGACATCATCATGTCTCAATGACATGATGATGTCATTGAGACATCGTTGTGTCCAACTGCGTAGTTTTAACTTCTGTCCTGGTTTGTCTTTTTTTTTTTGTAATAATAATCAATCAAACTCTGCTAAACTTAATGTTCAGGTAAAATGTGATACTGCCTTCTGGTGGCTGAAGATGTTTTTAAACGTGGCGTGGTGTTTAATATAACAGTACTACTAGTAGTACCAGTAGAGGGAGTACTCACCTCTGTCATTTGTGGACATTTTTTTTCTTATTTCAATATAATCATTTTTAATTGATTCCGTGTTTTAATAAAACCACTGAAATGTCATCAAACGCTCAGACTTTGGTGAAGTCTGCCACAGTTAACCGGTCGCAGTGTCACAGCGCCACGAAGCGGACAGTGTAGGTATTACACCTCTCTGTCTTTGGCACGTTAGCTTCACACTCTTCTAGAACCTTCTGACCTCTAACCTTTCCCCTGAACTTCGCGATTCGAAGCCGTGTCGTCCAGTTGTCCATCGGACTCAGGCTTCAGCTTCTGCTTCTGTCTGAAAAGCCAGAGGTCACCGAGGTCATCCGTACCGTGACTGAAATGCTCTTCTCCGCGAAGACCATGAAATCTGACACTGTTATCCCTATGACAACCCACAAACACACAGACAGGTATAAGAAACGGTGACGAGCCTGAGCAGCACGAGTGCCTTTAACGTTGTCCAAAACATATAGATGCAAATGTCTGTATGTGTGTTTGCATTGTTTTGTTTGTTTGTCTGTTTTTCCACTTTCGGGAAATGATCATCTATGAGACAAACGTCTGTGTTAATGATGTTCTCCGTGAGTGTTTTTGTTCCTGTCTGGCAATTCTGTAAACTTCTTTTTCTCCCTTTTTTCTTCCAGATGGCTGAGCTCTGATGACATTTCAATTTCTTTGTGAGTTGATCCAGAATATTCCGTTCATTTTAACATAGTCTGACTAATTTAATAATTGTTTTTTTTGTCCTGAATTCTGTTACTTATTAAAATGTGAATCAAATCCATTTAGTTGATAGCAGTGACAGGCAGCTGTAATGAATGAAGTCAACGTTGTTTCTTCTCGATGTTTTTGAAATTTGATGACAAATAATTATTCTGACATGTTTTATTATATTCACTTACGTTTGATGTGAACTCTTCGATTATTTGGTCTTTGTTAAGGGATCTTTTTACTCGCAGGAGTTGAGAATGATGTTGAGTCTAATTCTAATGGACAGGAATATAAGACAATCTTTTGCTATTTGCTAATTTGTTATTTCATCAATACTCTCTCAGTCACATGCAAGAAAAGGAAAGGTTTTATTGTTGTCATTTTTAAATCATTTGTATTTCATTTCTACGGAGCGCCCTAAAAAGACAGGACAAAAATAAATGCACGTTTCTGGTGCTCACCAGACACAACATAACCATGAAAACTTGCAAGCAAAGTAACAATGTTTTCCTAGTAAAAGTCAAGGTGAAAGCAAAAACAAACCAACTCCTGTACTGACATTTTCGTAAACAGGAATGCAATAGCCTATTTTCAGGTGCACACCCGAAAACATTGATTTTAATTTTTAATTTTTTTTTCCCTTTTAGGGGCTCCATAAGTCACTGCTGCTGTCTTGAAACACTTGAAAAAACAAGTGAAACAATTTTTGTATTTGTTTCTTAATGTGATATTTTATGATATTTTATGATTCTTTTCCTTTTTATTTTTATTTCCTCCAGAGATATTTATTTATTTGAATTTGTTCTTTTTTTAAAAAAATATTTTTGGTTAAATATTAGTTTGTTTCTTTTATGTCGACATGTGATTACCAATATGTCACTTTTATTTTATTATTTTTTTATTTCATTTTTTCGATTCCTTAATAAAAAGAAATACAATTTTCTTTCCTTTAATATGTCCTCAATACTTACTCCATCTTTCTGTCAGGCCTTTTTTGTTTACATTTGTATTTTTTTTTTAGCTTAAATTATTATTATTACTACAATCTTTCAAAAATATATCAGAAATGTTATAAAAACTTCTATTAATAAATGATAAATATGAATTTTCTTCTTTCTAAACTGATTTGTACTTTTTTTTTTTTTTACACACAGTCTGATGCACTGATGACATCAGCGATGCTCGGCACCGGCCCCTCCCCCACCGTCCCTAATCCGCTGGAGGTTCTGTTGGTGATGAGTAACCAGAGCTCAGGGCAGACAGAGGGCGCTGTCGCAGGGAGTAAAGACAGTTTCTCAAACGCTCTGACCAAGAACATCGTGGCCATGTCAGTTTGGCTGATGCTCAGCATCATCAACAGCAGTATGGTGCGCACGTTTCTCAGACACAGGTAATGAATGATTACCGACCAGTGGTGTGTCGCCTTGGTGTGGGCAAACTTTTTGACTCACGGGCCAAAATTGGCCCTTAAAATTAAACAGGGGGCCTCTGGAGCAGATAGATGGAACATTCGTGAGAACTAAGATAAAAGACATGTAAAACTCATGCATAAAGGCTAAAATGCTAAAATGTTTTTATCATCTTCTATGCCATCTATTGGGGCACTAGGGTATTGCAGGGAAAATGCAGAAGTATAATGATAATATAAATAAATTATATACCTTGGAAATGTTTGGCGGGCCGGATTAAAAATCTGAACGGGCCGCATTTTGCTCCCCGGACCTTAGTTTGCCTACTACAGACCATACACAGCGGAAACAACTGAAGGATCTATGCTGTTCCACAGTCTAATCACTGTAGTCTGTGACCTACATGGTCTAGTCTGCAGCCAATCTAGTAGGCAGGTTACATGGTCCACAGTGATTGATAGGCTTGACCACGTAGGTTACAGCCCACTAGAAAAGGGGAAGTGGTCCATGTGGCAGGTTGGTTGGATTGTACTTTCGAAACATTGATATTGGCAGCCATAAAACATGACCTCAATCTCCCTGTGTCTGTGTCTGTGTGTCAGCATCTTCTACGAAAACCCACGCTACATCATGTTCATCTGCATGGTGATGAACGACGCCCTGCAGCTCACTCTGGTCACTGCTCTCTACGTCCTCAGCTACATCTTCAGGAAGATCCACGCCTCCGTCTGCTGCCTGCTGGTGGGCAAAACCCCTCTGACCTCATTGGCAGCACTCTGACCTCGCTGTGACATCATCATCATCATCATCATCATCATCATCATATCATAACCACGATGTTATCGCATGACGTAGATATCATTCACGATATCCCTCTGACGTCGTCATAACGACAATGTAAAAATCATCGTGACTCAATCGTCAGAGTCCACGTGTACTTGTCATATGCCAATATACGGTACTCACGGTGTGGCCCACATCACAGCCAGTCATTAAAAAAAAAGCCAACACAAACACAAATCATATGTACGTAGTCATCAGTATTTATACTAGGTGTGTGGGCTACTTCACTCATACCGACACAAAACAGCCCAGGACATGTCTTTTGTTGCCTCATCTCTTCCTAATCTACCTCACTTTCGAGGTAGAGAAAGCATGTGGCCCACATCCTGAACAATGGAAACCCTTGTACAAAAGTGATCCAAATCCTGTGCAGTTTTAGGTTCGAATCTTTATATATTAACTTGTCTTTGTCTGCGACATCACTTCCTGTGTCCCCCCCCCCCAGATTATGACAGCAGTGCTGACCACACGGTCAACGCCGCTCCTCTTGGCGGGCATGGCTCTGGAGCGCTACATCGCCATCTGCTTCCCGCTGCACTACAGCCAGATGTGCACGGTCCAGCGCACAACGGTGTTGATCGGCCTGATCTTCGCGCTGACGTCGGCCCCACCCATCACCGACCTTCTGATCACCTTGGTGAGGGAACCGCCGACCTTCTTCCACTCGGCCATCTTCTGTGACCACTCCCTGCTCTTCAGAGATCGATCCATCTACTACAAAAACTGTGTGTTTGACGGGACGTACCTGTCCTGTGTCACCCTCACCCTGCTCTACACCTACTGCAAGATCATGCTAACTGCAAAGGCCGCATCCGCGGGCCTAGCATCTGTAAAGAGGGCCAGAAACACTGTGCTGCTGCATGGAGTCCAGGTAGGCCGTGTAGAATTGGAGTGAAAATAAGATGTAAGTGAAAAGCAGATGGAAGTTATTGAGTTAAAAAGTATCACTTCATATACAGTATATAGCTACACATGAAAATCGAATCGAATTCAGTCAAAAGCTAAGAGCTAATCGGTGAAATGTTCACACATGTTCAAGTTCACCTACGGAACGGAAATGACAGCAGGAGGCAGCAGCGCACCTGATGTTTCTCAAAACTAAAAATGACTGATTTTCTCTAGGGACTTTGGTCTGAGCTAAAATCATTGTTTTCTCTATGGACTTTGGTCAGAGCTAAAATCACTGATTTTCTCTATGGACTTTGGTCTAGAGCTAAAATCATTGATTTTCTCTATGGACTTTGGTCTAGAGCTAAAATCATTGAACGACTGATTTTGTTTCCCTAAACCTGTACAGAGTTTAAAAACAACTGTAAAATCTAACCTTCAAACCTTTTCCTTCCCCGTATCATTTCAGCTACTACTTTGCATGCTGGCCTTTGTAGTTCCTTCTCTGCAGGCGGCGCTCATCTCACTTTTTCCTCGCCTCAGCTTGGAAATTCGCTACATCTTCTTCCTGCTCGTCTACATAATCCCGCGCTTCCTCAGCCCAATCATTTATGGTTTCAGAGACGAGATGTTCAGAAAGTACTGGAAACGGGACCTGGTCTGTCAGAAACACAGTCTGGTCCGGGTCAAAGCTCGGTCACTGACAGTGAACGTAACGTAAAGATGTTTAAAGAAAAGTGCTGTGTCTTTATGAAGACTTTTAACCAAAGTGTGATAAAGAGAGTGGAAAACAGTAAGAGAACAAAGAAAGTAACTGTTAGCCCAAACGTAGCCTCAATTGCTAACATCCATCCATCCATCCATTTTCATCTGCTTATCCGTTACCGGGTCGCGGGGGCAGCAGTCGCCACCCAAATCACATTGCACCGTACCAACCCCCATGAACCTTCCTGTAGGTGGTGAGTCCACTGGAAGGTACTAACCGCCCTAATCGGGATTCGAACTTGCCCAGGAGGTGAACCCTGGGGTTCCACACCAATGACAGAGACATTGCCTCTGGGCCAAAGCGCCACTAATTGCTAACAATAAACCATCAAAAAAAAAAACCCCACTTGTTTATATATTATTCTTTTATAACAGGGTACGATTCTCAGGAGTTCTGCCACTTTTCTGCTTCTACTTTGTTTCTGACGTCACTGCGTTGTGAACATTTATAAACCTTCTCCACTTCCTTCTACTCTCACTTCTTCTGTCAGACTCACTTCCTGTTCTAACAAGCCAATGCTGTAAGTAACATCGTCTTTGTTTCAGCTCACAATAGAGGATTGTTTTCTTTTTAAGTTGTTGTTTTTCAAAACCTTTATTAAAACTTAAGAGATGATTCGAATTTGAAACCCGTTGACAATAACAAGAATTCAAAGTTTATTCTCATTTAATTTTTTTCTGCACTTGTTTTTTTGGTTATTTAAAACCCGTATGCTTAATTCACTTTGTGTTTCTGCTTTTATTTGTCTGTAAATATTGTTGAAAACCTGGACCTGTGTTCATATGTTTTAAATGTTTCTTCACTTTTATATAATTTTTTCGAATTTGATTTGTTTTTATATTTTAAATGAAACATTTGCTGGCATCTTCATCGTCCATTTTTATTTATATTTTTTACATAGAGCTTAACATTTTAAGTGTTTAAATTATGTGAATGTTTTTGTCACAGATTTTCTATATTTAATATTCATTAATTAAATGTTAATTAACACAATTTCTTAAGATGTAGCCTACAAAAACTATATATGTAAATATATTGGTATATTTTATTATTTAGTATATCTTGTAAAATATTGCTTTAAATAATCCTTGCATCTGCGTATTGCTGTTTTGTTTGTTCTTTTTAAAAATGAAATATTTAATGAATTATTTATATCTACATCTCTTTATCTACGTTACATTTTTTACATAATTAAATATTGTTGTTGTCACCTTGTTAAATTGAAATATTATAAAACATTTGTATACCCTTGTTAAATTGAAATATTATAAAACAACATTTTAATGTTAAAGAATACTGTACAATAAAACTTAGCTGTACACAATTGAAATTACTTTGTTTGTATATTAATGTGATTATTATACTTAAAATTAATGTTATTTTGTGTACATTTTATAAAAAATGAAAAATAAAAATGAAAAATGAAATGAATATATTAGTAAATTACATTGTTTTTTATTGTTAAGATTGTTAAGAAAAAAACCCCTCAGATTAATATTTTCATGATTTAATTATAAACAAGCACTGGTTCATCAGTATTCTACATTCACAGATTAGTTAAAAGTCTTGTGTCTTCACATGAACTGTTGTAGCTAGTGCTAGTTCTGGTGTCTGTACCAGCACTGTTGTAGCTAATATCTGGTGTCTGAGCTCACAACACAAGTACTGCAGTGATAAAAACACAAGAACAACTTTTCAGTTTCCGAGCTTCCTCTGACAGAACTGATCTCTGTTCCACTTTTGTTCTTTTTTTTTATTGTATAAAATCTATGCCAACCACACCCAGACTCTTAACATGATTGTAACCAATTGTGGTTTTGGTGGAACACAATCTTGACCAAGAGGAGTGATGAACATCTCCACGTTCATGGACGAGGACCATGCCAGAACCTTGTACATCACCTTCTTCCTGGCTGTCATCATCAACTGCAGCAACGGACTGTTTGTCATTGTTTACTTTAGGGATCCTCAGTTTAGGACAGATGCCAGGTCAGCATTTAGTTTTTATTGACTTAGTTGACAAAATAGTTTGTGTGTGTAGTCCAGAAATCTTTTTTTTCAAACAGGAATGTTTGTCCACTTTATTTGTATAAATAAGTTATTGTGGTGTGTGTCTGCAGGTATATTCTCTACATCCACCTGGTGATCAACGACATCCTCATGTTAAACTTTACGGTGGCCCTGCAGCTCATCGCCTACGCCGTCAACATCACCTTTGCTCCCTGCTGCTTCCTGCTGCTGTTGCTGGTCACAACCAAGCTGTATCAGACCGGTTCATTCATTCATTCAATCATATGGTCACGTGTACAGACAAAACTAGGAACATTCATTTAATTGATCTCACACACACGGTAAATAGGAGAACTCCTTACAGAGAGACCGGTAGAAGATGACGATAATAACAATAAAGGAGACCAACACTCAACAGTACCACTAAAAGGCACTATGCAAAATCGTTTTTATCTGACGTGTCAAATTGTGTTTCAACAGGTACCAGTGTATCGGGTCTTTCTCTTTAGGTGTCTGTAGTTCCAAAACCCCGCATAAAACTTGGACTTCCTGGTGTCATTTTGAGTCAAAAACGTGGTTAGAGATCCCTATTATCAGAGCACCTACAAAACTTAGGTAGCCAGACCGAGTAACTTAGTAGCTTAGTAGCAAACCTAGTAGCCAAAAAATGCCTGGCTCAAGCCTAATGGATCCCAGATTTAAGTTCTTCAGAATGTGTTTGAAGACTACGGTTTCATCTTCCTACAGATCTTCTGATGGAGGAACCATCGCGGCTTCATGAACCACATTTACCAGGTTTGAGTTTGGATCAGGGTACATGATTGACAGGTAGAAGGTTTCTTGTTTAACAACAGGGAGGTCAGTGGTTCAATCCCTGGCTCTTGGTGGTCCTTCTCTATGGAGTTCTCCTGTTCTCCCTGTTTTTGTGTGTGCGTATTTTCCACAGTTATTTGTTGTCTCTAATTCCAAGTACCATATTTTCCCGACTATAAATGGTTCTGGATTATAAATCACACCAGTGCCTTTTCGTGGCTGTCAGTGTGATACTAATGAACATGTACATTTTCAGTGGTACAAGAGTAGCAGATACTGGTATACAACCCTAGAACGCCCTTTCACAGTTGTCAGTGTGAAGATAACAAACGTGAAATTATATGTTTTAATTTTCAAGTCGCACCTGAGTACAAGTCGCAAACCCAGCCAATTGATGAAAAAAAGTGTGATTTATAGTCCTGTAAATAAGGTACCTTGAAATGGACTGGGCAGTGGATTAACATGTTGAAAATCTTCTTCTTGTCTGTCCTGCCAGGAACAGTCCTCTGAACTTGGCCTGCATGGCTCTGGAACGCTACGTGGCCGTGTGTCGACCTCTCCATCACACCCAGTTGTGCACAGCCCAGCGAGCCCACATCCTGATTGCCCTGATCTGGGTAATCTCTCTCATCCAACCCGTTTCCGACATCATCGTCAGCGTCAGCAGTCAGCCTTTTGAATTCCTCTCCGGATACGTTGTCTGTTATCCGGACTTCGTGCATAAAACACCGTACCATAAGATCCAGAGCGTGGTGGTCCAGGTAAAAACCATCATCAGGGTCTCCAGAAATGAAAATGGTTGTTGATCTGTAGTACATGTCTATGTGGGTTCTCACTCATCTCGGTCAGGTCATTTTATCCGTAGCAGTTCAGTAGAGGACAACTGTCTTAGTTTCTTGGAGACCTTTCGCCTCCTTCTTCAGTTGTCGGTAAGAACTGCAGAAACGGTGATGGGATTGATCTCAAAAGGACTGATTTCCAGTAGGTTTAGGACTCATGTTTCATCTACAGGTTGAATCCCTATCAGTGCCCAGAGGGTATAGTCCGAATGTCAGTGCACGATATAATAGCCCAGAGATCTTACTTGGTCTGGCCCAGTGGTGGCTCTAGGACATTTGGACATGAGCCATTTGGCATGAGCCTAGGTCACATGTCAAACCTTTCTTGCAATTTATACTCGATCTACAGTATGTGTCAGCCATTAAACAAAACAGAAGCTTCTGTGGTCTAACACTGCATAGACACGTCTTCATGATATATGGTATGTGTGATATGTACACCAAGTATCAGATGTAGCTAATGCTACTGCTGCTAATACTGAGCCTGACATGTGTCCATTTTGTCCATGTGTGTTCTCATGTCCCACAGGTTCTTCTCTGGGTTTTCATCCTCCTTACTTTGGTGACCACCTACGTGAAGGTGGTCTTTGCAGCCCGGGCAGCATCTGGTTCTCACCAGGCTTCGGCCAGAAATGCTCGTAACACCATCCTGCTGCACAGTGTGCAGCTCCTCATCTCTACGTTGTCCTACATTTCTCCTGTCATTAGCACTTTGTTGCTCAGCACATGGCCTAAAGACCACAATACCATCCTGTTTGTTTCCTTCCTGTTCACCAACGTTCTTCCACGTCTGCTCAGTCCACTCATCTACGGTGTCAGAGACACAAAGTTCAGGAACCAAATCAGGCTCCTCCTTCATTGCCCTCACTGTTTTGCTGCCCACACGAAGAAGAACGTAGTACAAGTCCGGAAAAGGTCCAAACAGGTTCTGCATTGAATTTGCATCTCTTTTTTTTTACAGAGACAATATTTTCAGACTGATTCACAATCTTGTGCAAAGTGGAATTTATAGAGAACTATGTGATTTTTTTTCAAATAAAAATATTATAAATACATAAAGTACTTGTTTGGAGGTGGGACCAAGTCATTGCTTTGCAAGTCACAAGCAAGTCTCAAGTCTTTGCACTCAAGTCTCAGGTCAAAACAGGCAAAGTCCGAGTCGAATCCAAGTCAAGACTGAAAAGTGTCAAGTCAAGTCCCAAGTCCTGCCGTTTCTGTTTCGAGTCCTTTTTCGAGTCCTTCCACTCACTGCCACTCCTTTTTTGTTGACCATCTCGTAGTTTTTAAATCCGAACAACACGATCTTTGGTATCATTTTCTCTAACCCGCGCATTGTTCGACGGCTCTTTCTCATCGGTTGTCCCGCAATTTGATTGGCTCGATATTATCTCGTCAAAACAACGTGGGTCTAATTTGATTGGCTGGTGTGCCCGACAGCACACACGTTCACATTGAGAGATACACAGCGCTCCTCAATAACTTACTTTATAATCTTCGGGTTTTGGAGAAAGTATCAAGTCTTGTCGAGTCAAAGGGCTCGAGTCCAAGTGAAGTCACGAGTCATTGATGTTAAAGTCCAAGTCGAGTTGCAAGTCTCTTTACATTTTGTCAAGTCGAGTCTAAAGTCATCAAATTGATGACTCAAGTCTGACTCGAGTCCAAGTCATGAGACTCGAGTCCATACCTCTGCACAACTCCTTGTTATGGGTACTACTGAGTCAATAGAAAACAGAAGCCCAACTGCATTTTCTTCATTTAACTCTCTCACAGAGAGCAAGGTATAGAAACTCCTTACTTGTAGCCATCCTACTACATGGCCCACTAGACCCTATTCCGTCTGACCTATTGCGATCTGTATGTCCTACGGTCACAGCAGCAATCACACGTGATTAATGCATCACAACCACTTCTATTACAACTGCTTTCAGATTGGCTCAAAAAATGCCCCTTGCTTCCTCAGGAGTTAAGAACGATCAACCAGTTTCACTCCTTCCAACTCCTTTCCAAGATCATTGAAAGGGTGGTCTTAAAACGTAAAAGTATTAGGAATTCTTTCCCAGAACAACTTCTTTGACGCTAAACCAATCTGGCTTCAAAAGCAGGCACTCCATTGAAACGGCTCAGCTATCTGTGACAGAAGCCTTAAAAGAAGCCAGTGTGGCAGGTAAGTCCTACGTGCTATCTGCTCGACTTACCAGCAGTATTTCACACAGTCAATTGCCGTGTCCTATTATTCATACTCTTAGACATGGGCATCACAGACAGGGCACAATCCTGGTTTGAATCTTACCTCACTGATCAGTCATTGGTCAATCGTCCTGGTAAGGGTAGACATCTGCATCACACCACCTTGTCGCAGTGGTTCCCAAAGCTAAGTCCCAAAAGCTCTGATCACTGCTATGCTATTGGGGCAACTCCAACGGCCTTCACCCAGAGGACAGGGAGGGGGGAACAGTCTACCATGGACGACTCACATGACCACCTTACTCAACACCTCACACCCCCCTTCTGGGGTGGATAAATACCTGGAAACTCCCCACCAGGACACCAGAACTGATGAAGCCTCTTGGATGAGAGGCGAAACGTCGTCGACGTTGTGAGGTGAGTCCACTTGAATACTTTAAAGATGCTTTTTGGGATTATTACGAGGACCTGGATGATCCACAAATTCTGTCTGTGGAGTCATTCTCTCAGTGCGACACTCCTGCCGTCAGGACTGTAACGTCTGTGACTGCTGTGAGTTTGGTTTCCATTCAGTTTGTTTTAAATCTTTTGTCAGTTTAAAGATGAAAAAGACGAAAGTACTTGGTTGTGCTTAGGTTTTCAAATGAACAAATAGCATGATGTTTTTGTCAGAGGCGAATATTTTTATTTTGTGTTTTTTTTTATTTAACCCTTGTAAAGTCCTTTGGGTCAATATGACTTTTTTTGTGTCTGTTTGTGTATGTGCATGTTCCTGTACTGCATGACTTGTGCCAACTTTTCCTCATGTTCATTAATACTCATATTCTGGGACAAAATGAAAATCATTGTTAAGGACAAACGGTGTGTACAAAAATGAACAAGGGTTAAAGAGAATATCGAATTTTCTTATTCAGATTTTTGGATTTTTTTTTTAGTAATTGTTCAAATTTGGGATCAAAGATTTTAGGTTTTAACTAATTTACAATAAATAAGTACATTAACTATAGTTGGGTTGCCTTTGTCTCTTCCAGTTCCTTTGTTAGTTTGTGTGCAAAAGCAGAAAAAAAAGTTTTACCAAGTAAAAACGCTGTAGGAATTAATCTCTTAATTAATCCTTGGATCAGTGCGTGTTTCTAGTCCACGTCTCTTTGACTTTCATTGTCAATCACAGTAAAACCTGTGAGGTTCTCAGATGTCTGTGATGAACTCCAGTGAACCTTTGGACAGCCTGGGTGAGGCGGTGACGAAGAACCTGATCAATGTTTTCTTAACCGTTGTCATCAATTGCATCAACGGAGCCTTCGTCTACATTTACTTCAACAGTCAGGAGTTCCAGACGGACGCCAGGTTTTAACATTTTATTATTTCATCAAATCAACACAGTAGATTGACTTTTAATATATATAAAAAAAACTATTAGTTGTTTTGTCTCACCTATCATTTGATTAAGAAGAAAATACAATACATTTACAGAGGCACAGAAGCTAAAGTTAGCAATGTTTACCTGTGTCTGCAGGTACGTTCTCTACATCCACCTGGTGATCAACGATATGATCATGCTGAACATGACGATGGCCCTGCAGCTCATCACCTACACCGTCAACATCACCTTAGCTCCCTGCTGCTTCCTGCTGCTGTTGCTGATCACAACCAACAAGTAACATTTAAAGCCATTTTGTACATTTAACAAAAGAGGCTACATTTTCAGGTTATATTATTTTTTTTGCCAACTTTGACTTTCTTTTGTCTAGTGATGGCTAACCTGTTTTTCTTTTGTTTTGGTCTGTGCTATTTTTGGCTGTTTTTACTGCAAAACATTCAGTGGTAGAGCTAATTCTCAGAGATTGTGTTCTTTCCCGGCAGGAACAGTCCTCTGAATTTAGCCAGCATGGCTGTAGAACGTTACGTGGCCGTGTGTCGACCTCTTCATCATGCCCAAATGTGCACAGTGTCGCGGGCGTACGCCCTGATTGCACTGATCTGGATCGTTTCCTTCATCCCATCGTTCTCTGACATCATCATCACTGTAGCCAATCAGCCCCTCTCCAGCCTCCTGCAAACTGTGATCTGTCATCCAAGCTATCTGTTCAACACACCCAATCACAAGGTCCACGGTTCAGTTCTTCTGGTGAGAAACAAACAGCTACGTTTTTCCAGTCTTACCTTTTGATGTATAAAATATGTGTCCACATTGTCCCTGTGTCTCATCATGTCTCACAGGTCCTTCTCTTTGCCTTTGTCTTCCTGACTTTGGTCATCACATATACGAAGGTGTTCTTCATAGCCCGCATTGCGTCCAGTGATGAAGCTTTAGCCAAGAATGCTCGCAACACCATCCTGCTTCACGGAATCCAGCTCTTCATCTGCATGTTGACCTATTTGTCTCCCGTAGTCACCCTTACATTGGTCACAATGTGGCCCAGAGGCCGGACCAACATCCTCTTCGTTTCCTTTGTGTTCACCAACGTTCTTCCACGTCTGCTCAGTCCACTTGTCTACGGAGTCAGAGACACAAAGTTCAGGAACCAAATCAGGCTCCTCGTTCACTGCCCACGCTGTTGTTCTGTCCACAAGAAAAAGAACTTGGTACAAGTCTGGAGACGGTCCAGAGAGGTGATACATCGAGATGCCTTCAAAGACGTCCATGCATGATCTAGAGACTGATTCTCTCCTACACCTTCTCAGGATTCAGTTCTCAAATGAAACCCTAAAGCGATATAGCCTTGTTTGAGTTGTGATATCCAAAATGAAGGGCTATCGTTCTAACTTTCTAAAAACTACCAACCTCTTTTATGTGATACAATACTTGTATAGTCAACTGGTGGTACCCTAATGGCATGTATGACAGAAAACACCAGCTGTAAGAACCAGAGATATGTAAATGAACCGACACATCTACAGGATAGCTGAGGACGTTTGTCATTTTTAAATGTCTAATAATTTGACAAATAATACAATAAAAACATTTGAGGAGATCATCTGGCTTCCTTTAAACTGTTTATCTGTACATTTTTATCTTTGCATAGATGTATATTATTATATATTGGTATATATATATTTTTTATTTTGTGAAATAAAAACTAATATGATTAGATGTAAATTGTAATATTACAATTTGCAATATAAATAGTCGATATATTTATAATGAAGAAGCAAAAAAAATTCTACAGTTATTATTTTTTTGAGATTAGTGTCAAAGAGCAACAAAAATAAAATAAAACGTTTTAATCTTTACATTAAAATGCAACTTTTAAATGTTTTTGAACTATTTAAATTTAAATCAAAAGTCGAATTTTAAAATTACTAATATATATATATATATATATATTAAACACACCTAAACAAAGAAAAAGAAAACAATAACAAATTATTATAATAAACAAAGTTAAAATAAATGGTTATTTCAAAAAAATATTTTTGTCATTAGGTTTCCGGAGTAAAAGTTTAATTCAGCTAAAATATATTCACCTGAACTGACCTAAATTAAATGAGTCTCTGTATAATATTGGACTTTTAGGTTCACACGTTGACTTTTAGACTCACTAACGTCGGGTTTTAATCAAATAACAGTCAGATACGTACTAATATTTTCGTATGACCAAAGTGGAGTCGCAGAAGCCAAACGAAATAGAGATAAAAACTCACAGCAAGACACGGCGGGAAGAGAGAAGATGGCCGCCGCCACTCGATGGTAGGAGCGGCTTAATTTTGAGACCGATGACTGAGCAGATTCACGTGGTCTCGGACAACTAATCAAATGTATTGTTTTCTGAACGGCGATGAGAGGGTGATTTTGTTCGAGTGCGCCCGCTCCGGAATCTGACGGAAAAAGACGAAGAGCAGAAAGAACCGAGAGAAGAGAAAAGCGAAAAATAGGTGAGAGGAAAAAAGAAAGGAGAGGAGAAGAGAGCAGGAGACACATGAGGATCCTAAAGTAGTTTTTAAAGGAATTAAATGACAGATAACAGCATTTTGAGAGCTTTTTATCTCCTGTTCTTTCTTCTTTCCACAATTTTAAGAGTGAAATGTGAGATAGCTGAGCCTCATGGGAAGATGATGAAGATGTGACTGGTTTATGACAAACTCGCGGGTGAGTGAAACGTTTCAATATTTACTCACCATTAATCTTGGGAATTCGATTTTGTTTTTTTCTATTTCAGTTTTTGAAAAATTCCAAATGTGTAGAAACTTCATTGAAAATGTTTAAAATGGAATGACGCATCAATTGCTAAAACAAATAATTTATTTAATTAAATGCAAATTTTCCCTGAGAGACCATCAGTAAAATGATGTGATACATTGACAACGAGTGTATAAAGGGTTTTGTTTCCCCACACAAAAGTCCCTAAAGGAAATCAGTGATTTTAATATAAAAAGATTATGATGCATTTGCTTTAAATAGTGCTATTCCAAATACCCATGGACACTTATTAATAAGGTCAAAGGACTGCAATAGTTTTAAATAGAAATTTAAAACTACTCACCACCTTGAATTCATTTTTCTAATTTTGTGGTTAATTGTGTGACTATTTCTATAACTTCACATCAACAGACTATATCTGTGGCTAAAGCAAAAAATAAGATTCTAAACATTCCCACACTAAAGTCCAATAAGAAAATTGGTGATTTTGGCTCGACGGTTTGTGACACCGAAGTGAATCTCACTAGAATATTTCTAACAGTGAAGTCACAGAATCACACACTCGAACTTCTCGATGGAGTCAGCAGTGGATCAACAACTGCTGAGTCTCTGTCAGTCTCTGGTGTGCGAGAGCGACTGATATTGTTTTATTGCTTGTTAGTGATGTTTTCTCTTCTCCTGGTGTTGAATTATACATCAGTTTTATTTCGGTGTGAGCAGAAACAACATCGGCAACAGCGGTCGGAGCACTTGCTCCCCAGAGGTCCCAGCATGCCCATGGAAGGGGCAGAGTTTATCTCTGCTACCACTCTTTTGGCCTTCACCATTAAAGCTTAGCGCTGACATTTTGCAGCAGCAGCAACGGCAGTAGCAGCAGCAGGGTAAAACAGCATTAACTGCGCATTAACAGTTTAACACTCTCTCAGATTCCTGACTCCATTTCCTTCATTAAAATATTCACTTACACGTTGTACCTTTGTACAGGCACTTAGTGCTGCAGATGTACGAAAGGAGGCGCCGGCCCTCTTGTCAGCAATAAGAAGTCTGAGAATCACATCCATAATATCTTCAGAATATCTTCTTGTCAGTACCTTCACAGGTACTATGAACTTTGGTTTGAGCTAAAATCACTGTTTGTTTTCTGTGGACTTTGGTCTAGAGCTAAAATCACTGGTTTTCTCTATGGACTTTGGTCCGAGCTAAAATCACTGATTTTCTCTATGGACTTTGGTCTGTGAGCTAAAATCACTGATTTTCCCTATGGACTTTGGTCTGTGAGCTAAAATCACTGACTTTCTCTATGGACTTTGGTCTGTATTAAAATCACTGTTTTTTTCTATGAACTTTGGTCCGAGCTAAAATCACTGATTTTCTCTATGGACTTTGGTCTGAGCTAAAATCACTGATTTTCTCTATGGACTTTGGGCCGAGCTAAAATCACTGGTTTTCTCTATGAACTTTGGTCTGTGAGCTAAAATCGCTGATTTTCTCTATGGACTTTGGTCTGTGAGCTAAAATGACTGATTTTCTCTATGGACTTTGGTCTAGAGCTAAAATCACTGGTTTTCTCTATGGACTTTGGTCTAGAGCTAAAATCACTGAATTTCTCTATGGATTTTGGTCCGAGCTAAAATCACTGATTTTCTCTATGGACTTTGGTCTGTGAGCTAAAATCACTGTTTTCTCTGCGAACCTTGGTCTGTATTAAAATCACTGATTTTCTCTATGGACTTTGGTCTGAGCTAAAATCATTGGGTTTTTTTTCTGAGGAATTTGGTCTGTGAGCTAAAATCACATTACTTTGTGATGATTTTGGCAATCTCTCCAGGTTACCATGGTGACAAATAGCATGCCCAAGTGGGTCCACCGGGACCCTAGCGATGGTCTGGTACATGTGAACGTGGGGGGTCTAAAGAGCAGCCTCTGTTCCAGCACACTGAAGAAATTCCCGGACACCCGACTGGGAAAACTGCTGTCATGTGACTCAGAGGAGGATATACTACAGGTACAAAACTAGCCAAACTACTAGCTAAAACCTGGCTCTAACCTGCTTCTGATTCGTAGCCATTAACAGCCACTTATCATTGTGACAATCAAAAACAACCTGTAAATTGTCAATGGAATTAATGAATAACAGAAAACCTACACCTCCCATATTGAGCTGGGCAACCCAAGATGGCCCGGCTCTCATTGGCCGCTTACTTCCCCATTCATAAGACCATAGAGAGAATAATTGACTTTGTGTACGTAAACGTTCCTTTTTAAAGACGGTCTGTGATTTGATCATTCCTAGAATAATTGACTTTGTGTACGTAAACGGTTTGTGATTTGATCATTCCTTTTTTTTAACAATTTTTTCTTCTTCCCTGTAGGTGTGTGACGACTACGACGTTCAGCGGAATGAATTTTATTTTGACAGGAACCCTGGTCTTTTTCCGTACGTCCTTCACTTCTACGAGACAGGAAAACTCCACATCATGGAGGAGCTGTGTGTCTTCTCCTTCAGGTTTGTAAATAAATGTGCTGCAGCCCCCCTGGTCTGTAGCAGCTAGATCTCATGTTTCCAACGTGACTACAATTAGGAAGACTTGGTGAGGTGATAAGGCAGGAAGGAAAATGAGCAGGAAGCAGATTGAAAGTGGAGGTAAGAAGTAGGAAGTAGGGCGAGACAAAAAGGCAGAGTTGGGGCGGGAAAAGCCCAGGATGTAGAATGTCGAAACCAAATGTGGAACTGATGTCTGTTGTTCCGCAGTCAGGAGATTGAGTACTGGGGCATCAACGAGTTTTTCCTGGACACCTGCTGCAGTTACCGATACCACGACCGGAAGCTGGAGAGCAGCCGACATCGGCGGTGGGATGACGAGAGCGATGCCAGCAGCGTTGACACATCTGTGGATGAGATCTCAGACCTAAACAGGTGACAAGTTCTAGTCCACTCTCTCATTTCCGTGGCACGCCTCCAGGCCAGATCTTAAGATCCTCCTCTTCGTTTCCCGCAGGGACATGCAGCACTTCCAGGAAGTGCGTTACGGAAACATCCGGAAGTGTCTGTGGCTGACACTGGAGAATCCTGGATACTCCATCCCCAGCAAGATGTTCAGTCTGATCTCCATCAGTGTAGTGCTCACTTCCATTGCCACCATGTGCATCAACAGCATTCCGGAATACCAGGTGAGTCCAGAACACCAGAGCTGAGGACACCAGCATTCCAAACCAAATCTGACTGTTTCCTCTTCGTCCTCAGACCTTTGACTCTGACGGGGCTCTGGTGGAGGACCCGGAGATGCAGGCTCTGGAGGTTTTTTGCAGCTGCTGGTTCACCTTTGAGGTGAGTTTGCGAAAACCCCAAACCCTCTGGGGCGGGTCGAGGTTTAAAA